TTTAACTGTTACATTTCATCTGCTCATCAGTAAAGTTTAAGAAACTCTTCATTAACCTTTAAAAACTAATTTGAGACTAATTTTTATTGTGAGACTTGTGCATGTATTAGTATAAACTTTCCACCATTAAAAAGAAAGTCCTCCCTCATGGACAAAATCCCTTTTATTTGATCAGAATGATCGCTCGCTCCCGATGAAATATTTTTTATTCTTCCACTAATTTAGATTAATTGATTAATTTAAAATAATTGAGTACATGCCCTTGGGCAGCTCAAATACAAAGCTTGCGGAATATGTATGTATATTATATTACACTTACATATGTAAGTAGTTAAAATAAAATTAAGGAGGATAAGAAAAGAAAACAAAGTAAATGTATTGCAATATAGCTTAGCTTAAATGATTCACTGATAAACAATAGCAATGTTTTCTTTTGAATCATTGATAAATGACAGCTGAATTAAGATACAAAAGTTATTTGAATCTATTCATGAATATATCGCCTATATATTATACAAGATATCTCTTTATGCTGTCTATATCTAATACTGAATAATTTTATCAAAGAGATTACTATTTTGCAGGTCGATCCAAACATAAGTACAGGACAGGCTGGTACGCATTGCGAATAATCGCTACAGTTGGGTTCGCAATGTTGGCGGCACTGTGCGGCAAAGCACTGATGGCCTCCATCCTAGCCTTAGCCCTGTCCGCCGTGGTGGCCCTCAGAGCTGGAGGTTTCGCCTTCGCCAGTCCAGGGAAGGTCACCCAGTACGAAATCATCAGCAAACCGGCCTATGCAACTGCTCCTGCTACTAATTACTATGACCACGAGCACTACCACATCACATCCCCTTATTCCTACAACAAGAGAGATGTGGAAGTATCCAAAGACAACTGACTAGGGCTGGCTAGAACCAGAAGTTGTAGAGAGCGATAAAAAACTGTCCAAAACTTAGCTTCTGTGTTTAATGTAGATATCACATTCGATAATATCCTCCACTGTCAAATGTGAACTAACTTCATAAAAACAGAAGTCAATCACAGACAAAAAAAAAAAATAAAATATTTGGGTATTACCAGTAAATAACAACACAAAATATTATGCTTGGTAATTTCTTAATATGGTCTTGTGAAGATCACACTACTTCCAAGATCGTAACAGTCTTAGTCCAGTTCAGTTGGTATTAGTTTTTTGTTTTTTTTATGATTGAATGCCAACTAGTCATTTCATCTTTTCTAAAACATAACTTTCTAACAACTTGAAAATTTATCAACGGAATACTCACCTATATCTTAAACTAAGTTAATCTTAAATAAGTTTAGGCCTCACGATCATATACATTTAGAGTTTAAGATAAGTACCACAGGTTTTACATTTCATCAAAATCAGTCAACACGTTTTACAGTTCTTCAGTGATTGGATTTCCATAATTATTAATATTTATGAAAAATGTATGTTGAAAACAGATTTTTATGTTTATTATTCAACTACTAAAAATGATAAGTTCTTTTTGTCTCTATGAAATAATGGTTGTTATTGATGAGACTGAATTGCAATTTTTGTTTATTTGTAAATAATTAAAATGGTTAATGGGTTAGGGTTGGGAAATATGTCTTAATTATTATTTTTTTAAATACTTCTATGAAACTTACTATGTAAGTTGAAGAGGTATTTAGCGGGTTCTAAGTAAAAAGTGTACTTCAGTTAAATACTAATAGATTAATTTAACAGTACTTTCCTATTTTTAAGTCCCAAGAATTATGGTTATTGATGTATTTGTTGTGGTCATCTTTTTATATATATATATATATATAAAATGCAGCATAATAAAAATATCTGTAGAATACATTCTTCTATTTTAGTACAATAATTATCAATTATTAGCTATTTAGAATAAAGATTGCCTTAATTTGTTTTATAATAAAGTTCTGTATATATTATCAAATAAAAAACATATATTATTCTATATCTGGTTTTATTTCTATAAAAATCTTCATGGCCAGTCCACTGTATTTACCTAAATTTTCTGAAACTGTTCTCTACCATTTTTCAAAACTAAATTATACTACACCAAATGGGCACTAACACACAAAATGATTTATTATTACAGCCAGTCTTGACCAATGAATTTAGGAGGATAAACTGGATAACACACAATAAATATAGTTTTATAGTTTGAAGTTTAAAAAAGCCATTATATAACTCAATATTTTAAATATCTTCAATAGTAGTTGGAATTTTCTTTTAATATACGAAAACTCTTATGTTTGGTAGAAAAAAAACAAAATTAAAGTTATAATTAATTGTTTTAGTAGATTCAACTTTGTTTAATTTTTTCCATCATGTTTAAGCAAGAAACTTGAAAAATTTCATTTTTGTCATTAATTACTTTTTTTAATTTTCTTGAGGTTCTTTTGCAAAATAAAATTTTACAAACACAAATCTTGGGTTTAGGTTAGTTAACAACGCCCAGAGATAAAAAAATATTTTAATGGGGAAACTAAAGTAAAACTTGAAGTGTTTTTTGGTCTTCCAAAAGTTTTTATTTAGCTATCTTCACGTTAGCTTACCATGACAGTAATGGTTTATTAATTTACATTTAATGTATAAGTCAATTTTTGCATTTTATTTAAATGTTAACAAATGTGCGTGTTAAATTAATATTAATATGGTATTTCTAACTTTTACACACTGAATTAACTGGTTCTCAAGCAATTTTTATGTCCTAACTAGGAATAAGATTCAATAATCAAGGCTAATAACTATAAATAATAAGTTTTAACTATAAATTCTGATTCCTATAACATTATGAACAGAAAATAGTATCAACTCAAAATACAAGAAACCTTATTACGTTTATTTTATTAATTCATTTTGTAGAAATACAAGATTTATATAAGTGGATTTCATTTAACATGCAATAATATAAAATACAAAGACAAAAGAGTAAAAATAAATACAATATATAATCAATATTAATAATTAACATACTATTGCTCTGTCATAATGTTGGGTAAAACCGGAACTAGGCAGCAACTAGAAGGAGCACCCATCACTTGTTGGCAATTATATGAATCTGGAGAAATGCATCATACAACTAATATGAATTTCTTCAGTATTAATAAATATTTTAAAAAGTTAACAAAGCTTACTAATACTACTTTTATTATAGATACAATCTTAGGAAAATTAATATAAAGCATGATTATTCTCTACTATATATTTTTTTTATTTCGTGAACTGACAATAAATTTTTAAGTTTTCCATTTATTTTCCATAGAAACGTACTATTTTTGTGTAGTATGTATACATGTACCATGATATTGTAGGGACAATGATATTTTAAAAAAGTCATGACAATTAGCATCGTTTGTTTTTACTGGATCAAAGTATCACCAATTTCTAGTACAAAGTAATCAGCAGTCACATTTTTAGAAACAATAACAAAAGAAAGGATTAATAATTAAAACTGATATTTGCTTCTTCATCACAAATACTATTTTATTTCAGAAGATTGTTATCTATAATCTTAATTGACTGAATGTTGAATGTTTCAGTTAACTGTTCAAAAAAAAAAAAAAATCCTCCAAGATAATCACATTACAATTTGTACATTTTTATTTTCATAAAAATTCTTATTTAGAAATTTCAAAAATGAATCTAACTTGACCAAAAATTTACTTGCCCTACTTTATTGAAGTGTCCTCAGGTTTTTGTGATTTATGAAACCATAGAATTTAGAGGAAAATTACTTCAATATTTCTTATTTATTAATTGTATTCTAATATATCAATGTAAATAATTTGTAACAATAAAGATGGCAACACTGGTTCAGACCAAAGAGCAACATGGGCATGCTTGGCTTCAGCCTGTTCCCTTGTGGCATCCATTAGAGTAACCTTGGATCTCGACTGTTTTCTTTTAATATCCCTGGATCTCATAAGACAGAACTTATTCAATACTATAAGCAATATTGTTTTTCTTATTCTGTCAAAAAAATGAATAAATAAATAGATTGATGTTTAATAACATAAATGTATTAATATATTTTTTTTAATTATAAAAAATAATCTTCTCTCAGCTTCTAAGGCTCATTGCTATGACATGTGTGAGACTTTTTTGATGTATTAAAAAACAAAAAAAATTGGTTAAAAACTGTGAACACTGACTTTGAACTACACTTCTTAGTCTTATGGTCAGAACTACTCTTTATTTTTCTGTACACCATTATTATTATCAAGGAGCTACATCCCACAATAAAGTTGCTATTTCTATTCTATTCTAATAAACTGTGTACTTTAAAATATAAATGAGCCCAAAGCAATTGCATTTGTTGTATATACATGAATGCAGAGCATTTTATAAATAATTAATAATTGTTATATGGACCTTTCAGCTTAAATAACTAATGGCTTTAGGCAAAAAAGACTAATAGGCTGACTTTCTGAACATCTCCTCCCATCTTTACCAGGACTTGATAATGGCATGGCTATTGGGACTATCAACGCAGATCACAGGCGGATCTACGGGGAGGACTTTCGGGCTGAAGCCTCCTTCCCCCCCAAAATGGTAAAATATAACCATGTTTTATGGAAAAAAATATTAAAAAATTAGGTCTTAAAGTATTATTATTCGTCTAATTACATTTAAAAGGACTTAAGGAATCACTTAAACACCATTTCATATAGATAGTTAGTTTCTTCCTTTTTTTCCTAAGTAATTATTGTCATTTTTAAGAAAAAAAAAGCTTTCGGGCTGAAGCTCCCCCCAAAATTAAATCCTGGATCCGCTAGTGACACAGATTGGTATACAATGGACAAACTTTGGATAGTTAGATTTATGTATTATAAAAGAATAAGGACAACTAATCAAACAGTTGCTACTAGTTGAAATTAGAATTGAAAAATTATATTACAGTTATTTCATTTCCTAAAATAAATGTTATAAAAACCAGACATATTTAAAAATAATTTATTGTTTTAATGATTACCAATGATCACCAAGTATAAAACATGAGAGGATGTGGTTCGATTTTCACCTTAAGGCAGGTATCAAAATATACATACTGTTCTGTTTGGGCACTTACTTCCTTCTCCGGAAGGTTTAATGATGGTATAACTATTCGCTGATGAGGTTCTTCCAATGGCATAGTTAGTGAAACCTCATGATAGTCAGGATTCTTTTGCCCTCGTAGACCATAGCGGAACACTATTGGCATTGGTGTGTTTGCCCAATTGTCCTGCATCGTCTGCTGTTCTCGCTCTTTCAAGGGATAAGTCTGATTAGGAATTGATGTTTTCATATAAGACAGTATTGTTTGGACGCTCTTTGTCTTTTTTGTTGAAATGGTTGTCTGCAAAAAAATATATATTGCAGTTATTATTAGATTCAGATTCCAACTATAACATATATATATATATATATATATATATATATATATATATATATATATATATATATATATATATATATATATATACCATATATATGATAAATGTTTAGCTGAAGATTAAACTAATGGTATTGGTGATTTATTTATTTAACAGTGCATATCTAACCAAGCAGTTCATTAGCAAGCTATTGTTAATTTTATATAGGTTTTAATAAAAAGACAAGATTGCAGAAAAAAATATCAGACTATAGTTTGTTTTTGTCTGTTAGGACAACTATCAGGTATTTAAATTCTTTCCCATTTGGAACTGATTCTGGATAATTTGAATGTTCTCAAAGTCAAAATTTAGCCCTAAAACTCCCAAATTCTGTGAAAAATTGCAAGATCCGTGAGTCCAGTAGGACCCATTCCCTTCCTTAAATCAACAGACTGTGGGAAAGTATTTTCTCAAGATAGGTTCCTCATCCACCATCAGTTCCTCTCTTTCTTTATCCTATCTTTCAGGATTAAATTTTTCAACTTTTAAGGTTAATCATCAATTGACTCACTTTTAAAGGGTTAACCGACTCAAGATTGTTTCTCCAGGATTGGTCGTTCCAGTGCTATGTTCCAGTACTAGTTTTAAAATTACTGGCAATAAATATTAATCCCTGTTTCATATCAAAGCTGTTTGAGAGAATATTCTGCATCTTGATCTTCTCAAAGTCAAAATTTAGCCCTAAAACTACCAAATTCTGAGAAAAATTGCAAGATCCGTGAGTCCAGTAGGACCCATTCCCTTCCTTAAATCAACAGACTGTGGGAAAGTATTTTCTCAAGATAGGTTCCTCATCCACCATCAGTTCCTCTCTTTCTTTATCCTATCCTTCAGGATTAAATTTTTCCACTTTTAAGGTTAATCATCAATTGACTCACTTTTAAAGGGTTAACCGACTCAAGATTGTTTCTCCAGGATTGGTCGTTCCAGTACTATGTTCCAGTACTAGTTTTAAAATTACTGGCAATAAATATTAATCCCTGTTTCATATCAAAGCTGTTTGAAAGAATATTCTGCATTTTGATTTTACATTTTGTTATTCATCAGTTCTGCGCATGCGCTTGATTTGAATACCCACATTTCACGTCGTGTCCCACAGTTTTACTATTTTTTAGTAGAATAAGTGCTCAGTTTTACTTTAAAAAAAAAAAAATAAATAAAAACTAGTTAAGCAGACATCAAAAAAACAACAATGGAATAACACCACAGTGAGTAGTGTTGTTATTTACTGTGTACTATTACAGACAGTGAATTTAGTGGTTTAGCGTCTATAGCCTTATCTATATAGCCATAACAGCTGACGGCTCCCCACTCCAGTTGTGGCCCAGCCACGTAACTGACTGGTCCACAGTGGTTCATCCATCATAATAACACGCAGACGTAGTTTTATTTATTTTTTTTTCCCCTTTCTTTTTTTTTATATATGCGATATTACCATCAAGTAATGTCAACTAAGAGGTCCCATTCAGTTGGCTCTACCCCTCGTAATTCACCGCCTAAACAGAAAACACGTCGTAGTAAGCGATTAACACCCCCCGGAACTCCTCCAACGAACACTCAAGTATCTGTGTCTCAACCACAGCCAAGTACGTCTTCACAAGAAATGGAATCTCCATTTTTTACACCTAATCCATACCAGGTGCTTGAAAATGACAGGGAAGAAATGGAAGATGCACCTATACCCCGAGAACCACGCCCACCTCCTATCTTTGTCAAAAATTTGAGAAATTTCCAGTTGTTGTGTACTCAACTTAATAAAATCTGCCCAGGTAGCTATACATGCCTAAACAGAATAAATGATACAAAAATAATACCGGCCACACCTGAAGCTTACCGAAAAATCTTAAAATATTTAACAGACACAAACGCGGACTTTCACACATACCAGTTGAAGCAGGAAAGAGTACTACGAGTTGTTATAAGAAATTTACACTCCTCAACCCCAACAGAAGTGATTAAAGAAGAGTTAACGGCGTTAGGGTTCAAAATACGTCAGATAACCAATGTATTAAAAGAAAATAAAGAACAACCAGGTGTATAGAATAAAATCCCATTGCCCTTATTTTTCGTCGATCTAGAGCCATCGCCTGGGATTGAAAAAATATACGATGTGAATAGAATTTTCTACACCAGCGTAAAGGTCGAAAAACCGTACCCAAAAAGAGAGTTCATCCAGTGCCATAATTTCCAAGCATATGGCCACACCAAGTCTTATTGCCACCACTTACCACGCTGCGTGAAATGCGGTAAAACACACAAGTCTGGCGAGTGTAATAAACCAATTACAGAACCAGCAGTCTGTGCCCTATGCCTGGAAGGCCATCCAGCCAACTACAAAGGCTGCCAAATTTATAAAAATCTTAAAGCGAGATATATGAAACCCAGGGACCCTGATGATACACCTAAACCAAGAAGAGGACCCGCTAAAATTGTGAACTCTAAGGTTTCTTTTGCCAAGCTACTTGGGGGTAGAGACCCGACTAATGAATGTGAGGCCCTGCCGCAAGAACAAACTCAACCCCAATCTCAATATCCTATCCCACCTAATGTACCTAATCAACAACAACCTCACCAACATCAAATCCAATATGTTCCTCCACCGCCTAATGCTACAGATCTAACCAGCTTATTGACATCCTTTCTTTCAGAATTTAAATCCCTTGTTACCCCACTGATATCACTTCTCACTAACCTAGTATCTCACCTTATCCCTCCTTTAAAAAATCCTTAAATGACTTCCATCAAACCCATATCCATTCTCCTTTGGAATGCGAATGGTGTTAGAAATCACATACACGTACTAACAGCCTTACTACAAGACAAGAACGTAGACGTAGCCCTAATAACGGAAACTCGACTGACTAAAAAACAGCTCCTAAAAATATAACAATACATAACTTACCGTACCGACCATCCTGACGGTAGAGCACATGCCGGTACTGCAGTCATTGTGCACCAATCCCTCTCCCATCACCTACTCCCACGGCCTACACACGATTTCCTACAATCCACCGCAGTCGTAATCGAAACCTTCTCCTTTCCTATTACCGTTGCATCAGCGTATTGCCCTCCAAACCAATCCATCTCCAATATCCAATTTAGTTCCTTCCTCATTTCCTTAGGACATCATTTCATCTTGGGTGCAGACTTAAACGCCAAGCATCAACAATGGGGTTCAAGAATCACGAATTCTCGTGGTCGAACATTGCTGTCTGTACTCAATTCCCAAAATTTTACCCTTCTTCCACCCAACTCACCTACCTACTGGCCCACTGATCCTAACCGTAATCCCGATATCCTCGATTTCTTTATCCATAATGGTTTAGGTGCTCTCAACCATTCCGTTGCAGGTCTTGACGAGCTTTCCTCAGACCACAGCCCGTTAATACTCCAAGTATCACTAGCTCCTATTCCTAAACCCTCTCCTCCGTCCTTCATCAGAGGCCCAGTTAACTGGAAACTCTTTCATCAAATCCTCTCCGATAAAATTGACCTCAGAGTAACCCTGAAAACCCCTGAAGACCTGGACAATGCAGTACATTCCTTCACTACCAAAATTCAAGAAGCAGTCTGGACTGCTTCCTCCCCTGATCACTCCTCAAAAATCCTTAAGAAACATAATTTACCTCAACACCTCCTTGACCTAATCCACATAAAACGCCGTGCCAGATTATTATGGCAACGTACCAGACATCCAGCCGACCGCCACTCCTACAATTATCACTGTAAAAAATTAAAACAAGAATTAGCCACCTTCAGATCCCAATCATTCAATTCCTACCTCACCACACTCTCTGCTCATGATAATTCCCTTTGGAATATCACCAGAAAAATCCTCAAATCCCATCATATTTCCCACCCTCTTCGACGAGATGATGGCTCCTGGGCAGCATCTGATGAAGATAAAGCCGAGGAATTTGCCAAACACCTTTCCTATACTTTCGCTCCTCATCCAGAATCCCATCCCAGCCACACAGTAAAAGTAGAAGAATCCCTCTCAATACCTATTCCACTCTCCTTACCACCTAAAGCTGTTAATCCCTCTGAGGTCAAATACCTTTTACGGAAAATCACTCCTCGCAAATCTCCTGGATATGACCTTCTAACCCCACAGATCCTTCGACAACTTCCATCTAAAGCCATCATATTTCTTACATATATATACAATTGCATCCTACGAACTACCCACTTCCCTCTTTTATGGAAACATTCCACCATCGTCCTCTTCTTGAAACCAGGCAAACCTTCCAACAATACAGCATCCTATAGACCAATTAGCCTACTCCCAATCCTCTCAAAAATTTTTGAAAAGATCCTACTGAAACGAATCCTACCTATAATTGAATCCTATAACCTTCCTACTCATCAATTCGGATTTCGTTCCCAACATTCCACTGTCCAACAAGGACTCCGAGTTGTTGACCATATATCCTCAACCCTAGAAAGCAAGCAGTATTGCTCGGGTGCATTTCTGGACATAGCGCAAGCTTTTGACCGGATATGGCACGCCGGATTACTCTTCAAGCTTAAAATCCACCTACCACAGTCCTTATGCCTAGTACTCCGATCCTATCTTTCCGACCGCTCCTTCCGAGTTCGCTGTGGCACCGAATTCTCCGACTGTTACTCAATTGAGGCTGGCGTTCCTCAAGGCAGCGTCTTGGGCCCCATCCTTTACATTCTCTTTACCGCTGATATTCCTGTCCATCCCGATACCCTCCTGGCAACTTTCGCTGATGACACTGCTATCCTTTCTTCCAACTCAGATCCTGAAACAGCGTCCGCAAACTTACAAAGGCACCTCTTCCTGATTGAACACTGGTGTAAGAAATGGCGCATCAAGGTAAACGAATCTAAATGTAAACACATTACCTTCACCCTTCGGCGTAATACCTGCCCACCAGTTTATTTTAACTCCATCCAGCTTCCTTTCTCAGATACAGTCCGGTATCTTGGCTTTCTCTTAGACAGACGACTAACATGGAATCCACATACTAGACTTAAAAGACAGGAACTTAACAGACGATATGGCCAGCTATATAGACTACTGAATAGAAAATCTAAACTTTCTGGTGAAAACAAATTACTGATCTACAAGACAATACTGAAACCCATCTGGACTTACGGACTAGAACTATGGGGAACAGCTAAATTTTCTAACATCAAACGCATTCAATCCTTTCAGTCTAAAGTCCTCCGTACAATAGTCGATGCTCCCTTCTATGTAACCAATAAAACCCTACACCATGACCTTAATATCCCATTTATTCTTGATCTTATCCCAGCCAAATTTTCCAAATTTCACCAGAACCTTTCTCATCACCCAAATCCCGTTGTACAATCCCTATCAAGCACCACCCATCCCTACAATCCCCTTCGTAGGTTAAAGCGGCAGTGGCCACGAGACCTTTTGTAAATATGGATATTTTGGAGTTCTAGCAATGGCCAGATTCTCCACTCAAGTCATGAGTGTCTGTGGCTATAGCGCTCTTACTCATCCTCCGCTGGTTTAAAATACCAGTGAAGTGGCTGAGGGAGAAGCGTAGGGATCTCCTAAGCCTCCCTTTTCCCTCCACATGTGGAGGGGACAGGATTGGTTCGGAGATCACCTGGCAAATTGTAAATAATGTATATAGGTATGTTTTATATAAGGTGTTTGTTTTACTTTTATTTCTATTTTTATTTACTTATGTATATATATATTTTTTTTTCTTTACTCTTTTGTTCTTTTTTCTTATTCTTTTGTTATTACTTTATTTATTTATATTTTTGTATATACGGTATGAATGCAATCTCTGAACTCTATTATAAGTGTCCTTAAACTGTGACAAATTGTAATATTTCTGAATAAAGTGTTTAATAGATAGAGATACATTTTGTTATTGATTTCACATCTCTGTGTGGATAGTCAACTTTTTGGGAATTCATAGATTTCTCCATTTTTCTAAATTATTTTTTGTCGGCCAAGTCAAATGTCTTCTACAATCTGTAAAAAACATGGTGCTATTCCTCCATGTTATGTTTGTATGTTATGTTTTGTATAGAAAATATGTGTCCTACTGTGCATATTGTTTTACTTAAGCCACATTGGTTGTTCCTACCAATTCTTTCTTCTCCATGATGTTAGCCTCTTGCTTATAGAAATTGAAAGGACTTAATAAATGTTTGACGGCAGCACATTTATAGCGAAAATTGAAAGAAAGTGTCTAAGGAAAAGTAAAATGAATAAAAATGGTGTTTACGGTTTTGACTCAAAAAGCATGAAGATAGTTATATAAGTAAAAGTACAATACTGAATTCAAAACACTTCTGTAGCAAATGAAAAATTTATTTTATAATTGAAATATTTAATAGGTACTTTAAAATTAAATGTTAAAATATATAAATATTTAAGAAGAAGCAATAATAACAATAATTAGTTTTAATTACCATCAGGCAGTAATTGGCTCTGGCCTGCCAAATACTATGGATATAATTTTTATCGATATAAGATGGAATTGGATGAATTTCAGTCTGTATTTCCTTATCTGCAATTGGTTTTGATGAACAAATGTTTTCCTTGAATCTGAAGTTAAATAAAAATTATTTTGATTTTCTCTCTGATTAGATTAAGACATATAAAGAGATACAATGCTTACGCTTTTTTTCCCTGAAATTTATCCATAAATTCTCTAAGTTGAAGCATGTCAATATAATGAGGATGCCTTCTTACAAAATTTATCACTTTAGCAATATACCTGAAATCAAATCCGTTAACAAAATGTGGAGAAAATATGTTTCTTTTTAAAAATCTAATGAAATGTAACTGAATCAGTGATTTTGGAAACAGCACATGTAATTTCAGAAAAACATAAAGAGCTACATTTTAATAAAAATTTTAAAAGATAAAAATTTACAAAAATAAATGGTTTAAGCAATCAATTTGTACATTTTTTAAGCTGTTTTATTTATTTATTTTTTATACACGAAAAGAAGTATATATTAAAAATGTGTCCATAACTATTCTCAACTTAAAATTAGTCTGAAATAATATTTATTGTTTCAGAAATAATTAATTCCAATGCAAAAATGCATTTATCATCTAAAATCAATATGTTGTTAAAATACACTAATAAAGTTTTTTAAACTATATTCCTTGTCTAATTAATGTAAAAAAAATTCATTTTTACCTTTTATTTTGTTAAAAATCAAACAGTATTCACCCATTAAAGTTTTTGGCAAATAATTAATTTGACACAATAAATATGAACTGGAAAAGTCTCTTGAAGGCTTCTAAACATCAAACATTTATATAAATGTTCTATTTCTAAGAGTCATAGAATGACATATTGGCACATATCAGGGATGCCCAGAAGGAAGTTCCATGGCGTTCATAAAAATTTATAAGGAGGACACATTTCAACAAGTTTATGAATTTTCAAAAGGAAAATTTTCAAATTAAAAGACCAGTGAAAGAAAAATAAGTAAGCCAGCATAGAAAAATAAAGTCACCGAAGAAGTGAAAATACTCGAATGGGGGAAGAAGTTGTATCAGAGACATTTTTCAGGATGAGGACCCACTGAAGAAGATCTGGTGGAAAATAATATTCCGGAAAGTCTAGAAGTCATTGAGGAAGATGATATAGAATATGCCATCCAAAAATTTAAATAGGTAAAGCGGTGGGAAGGGATGGCATAGCCTCCAAATTAATAAAATTTGAAGAACAGGAATTATTTAAATTTCTCCAACAATTCCTCCAAAAAATATGGGATACAAAGACATTCCCAATGGATTGGGGGTTCAGTTTAATTGTCCCTATTCATAAAAAGGGTTTCCCCACAACTATATGCCTATAAGCTTACTTTCAGTGACTTACAAACTATACTCCTCAATCTTAGAAAGAAAACTGAGGCTCGTAATTGAGAACCAAATAGAGAGTGAACAAGCAGGCTTTCGTCCAAGGAGGCAGACTCAAGATCACATTTTCGTGCTAAGAGGCATCGCAGAGAAAGCATGGGACAGAGACAAGAACATATGCATAGCATTTCTAGACCTCAAAACAGCATGTTCCAATACAAGAAATATGGGAGGCTTTGGCGGCAAAAAATGTCCCAGTTGATCTTATCATGGCAATTAGATTGGCTTATAAGGCAGCAAAAGGAATTGTAAGGATTAATGGTAAACAATCCAAGAGTCCGAGAGTAAAAGAGTCCAAATTGTCTTTTACCATCGAGAGAGGAATAAGGCAGAGAGGCAGCCTAAGTCTCCTCTTGTTCATCATATTTATGGATGAAATCCATAAAATTTGTAAGCGTTGTACTGCTTGGACGGTCATCAGAAAATGGAACATGAGGAATATTAAGATCCAAAGCCTATTATATGGCAATTATATCGTTCCGATGGCGGACACAAAAGTTAAGTTGTAGCAGGCATTAGTAGAATGGCAGAAAGAATTCCTCCGCAAAGGTATGGTTATCAATAGCTCCAAAAGCAAAGTCCTAGTCATATCAAGAGATGAACAAGAGGACATCCAGCTGATCTGTACTGGGGAGGTACTTGAAGTTGTGCGAGAATTCACCTATTGGAGGACAATTATCAGCAACACAGGGAAGATTGACCCAGAAGTAGCGAATAGGATATCCAAAGCCAATCAAGTCTTATTACCCTATCAGCAACACTATAGTAGGGCACAGGGAAGTTGGCAAGGAAACAAAAAGGCACATATACAAGTCGGTATACCTCCCAACACTCACGTATGGAATTATGCTGGACATGCAGGTTAGCCGTGTGACAGCAGCCGAGATGAAGTTTCAGCGGAGAGCTGCTGGAAAGTTCAGGAGAGACCGCGTCAGGAATGAACTCATAAGAGAGAATCTGGAGATAACGGAGCTAAGGACATTATTGGAAAACTGGAAGGTAAAGTGGTTTGGCCATGTTTGTCGGATAAAGGAGGAGAGAGATCCGTATAAGGTTCTGGAAGCTCGACCTGGGAGGAGGCCAAGGGGCCGTCCCAGAATTTCCTATCAGAAGTATATGCAGCAGATTGGAGAGAAGAGAGACAAAACCCTCCAAGAAATGAGGCGGCTTTGTAGGAACTGAGAGGAATGGCTGCACTGGATAAAGGCTCCTCAACACTGGTAATGATACAAAGAGGAAGACAAAGAAGAAATGGGAACATGGACCATACCGCAGGATGCATAATTGTATGTAATCTATGAATATTTAAATTATACTTTTGTTTGCATAGTTTTTAAGAAGAGAGGATTAAAATATCTTCGGAGGCATGGGGGAAGGTTTATGTGCCATCGGCATTGAGGGGGGATGGGCATACCTGTTTCTACTACAAACTTCAATTACTAAATTGATTACAGAATTATTGTAATTGGTACTCCTGCTATCAACTGCCATAGGTGATGTCTCTACAATGTTATAAAACCTAAAGTGTTTCTCAATAAATACTATACCTAACACAAAAATAATTTTTTTAAACTACTGGAATTTCCTAAATTTAGCAATAATAAATTCTCTTCAAATTTATAGATTTCAGAAAATATTTCATAAGTCAATTATACTTCTAGCAGTAATACTCTTGGATATCAATAATGTTTTTTTTATGAAACCATATATTTTTTAAAACCCATAAATGAGAATACAGAGAGTATCTGAATATAGATTTAAAAACACTGTATCTCATAGAATGATCAAATTGAGTAAAACTTTAAATCATCTTAATATAATAAACAGAGGTAACATATGTTCTCCCTCAGAGAATCTGGCTCAGATTTTAATAAAGTTTCCATTTGACAAGTTTCCATTATATATTCTTTCAGTACTATGATAAATTGAATTTATTTATTATATAAAACATCTAAAATTAATATTTACTTGAAAGATTTATAAATACATTACATTAGGATAACATCGCTTTTTTTTCTAATTTTTATAAACTTATAGAAAACCCCATGTTTTCAAAACCTAGATTAACTATTGTTAATTCATAATTATCTATCAAATAAATATTTTATTCTTGAAAATGCCTTTCAAAAAAACATGGAGAAAATGAAAATTTTATTTTTTCTAGGACGTTTAAACAACAAATAAATAAAAACTTTATACTTGTCAGGATCTTCTCCAAACCTATAGGCTGATTTAATATCCCTAAATCCAAAATATCGATTATCGTGTACAAGAAGACCAATCTCTGCAGCAATATCCACAATAACACCATTACTTTCAATCAAATATACTGGATCAAAGCCTGCGAACTAAATTATTAATAACAAATTGCATCAATTTAAGACATAAATTTTATATATCTTTAAAACAATATAAAATAATATTCATTCTAATTTTGTTAAAGAACAAAATTATTGTTTTCTGTTAAATTTTTCATATATCATTAAAACTTAAAAGTAATTATACCAAGCCAGGAGGTTCTCAGAAATTTTCAAAAAATCATACTGATTATTTTAACTTCCTAATTTTTTATTTCTTGGTTATTATATATAGTCGGTTTATTGCAAAAAGTCATTAAGTGACATTTCATAATCTTAGGTAATTAAGAATTTTCCATTTATGAAATCAGAAAATTGTGCGCTTTTTGCAACTATATTTGATATATGAAAAGGTTTGTGTCATTTTTATGCACCTAACAGTGTTTTTTTATTGATAAATAAAGTTGAAATTCACAAAAATATACTTGAAAATTATCCTATATCAAAAATCCACTTAGTGACTTTTTGAAATAAATCAACAATATAGTTAGTATAAGATCAGTTGTGACAAAGGAAAAGATAGACATAGTAAAATACTTCTGTGTAATTAAAGGTTGTAGAATCATTATTCTCATAGAATTTGGGAAATCGGTCAGAAATTCCATTTCACAAAGTTCAAGATTTTTCTACTGTCATACTTAGGTATGGTTTTCAATGGGTTTTGATTTTTCTTGGTTATTATTAAATACCTTCCTCTAATTCTGAAGGTCTATAAATCAACTTTATTTTATTTTCTTCTCTTCTCTTACTATCTCCAGTGTGGAGTAGCTGCCTCTGACCATAATGTCCAACGGTCTCTGTCCTGTGCAAGCCTTCTCATCTCCGGCATGGTGCTTCCTCTCGCTGTGCCAATTCTTCAATCAAGTCTGCATACATAAGCCTTAGCCTGCATTGAGGTCGCCTTCCTCCCGGTCTTGTTTCTTGAAACCACCTGGCCTTACGGTCAGTTCCCATTCTGTTAACATGCTTCAACTGCTTTTCTTCAAATTTACTGAATTGTGTTTAAAGTGTAATAAAACTCTTCAAACTCAAGATCTCACTAATATTATTTTTGATATTAATATTATATAATTTTATGCTGTTTTCACTAATAGGCAGTTGTATTGGGGTATTTGGAGAAATATTTTAGCTAGAGGTAGTTTTATATATTTATATTATTATATTTTATGTATTAAAGCCCCATGATAAAAGTAAGTAATGGGCTCTGTAACAAATCGATGATGATTTTTGAGTGTTTTTTTATATACAAAAGATCGATAAATATTATATTGCCATTTTTCAGATCTTATAATATTTGAAAAATCAAAGATTTTCTTACTTTGCAGAATATATCTTTACATACAAAAGTTTTATGTTATACAAAGGTTCATTCCATTTTTTAAAAAATAATAAATTTTCTATACTTACAATTACTTTACAATATTCACTTTTACCTTACCATTATGTTGTAATTGTTTATTTCTCTCTTTTTTGGGTACACTACTTTGCAATTTACTTTTTCAGAATCAATCATTTCAACTATCTCCTCATCATCAGATTCATATGGTTCTGGTCTGTTAAGATCTTGCTCCAATTTCGATATTCTTATTCGTGTTAACAATTTTTGAAACTCATCTTCAGGTATATTACATTTCTCTTGAACGTTGAACCAATCTTCTAATAAATTTGCTTTCTTTTCAATTTTTATCAACATATCTTCCACATTTTCAGGAATATCATCAAACTGTATATAAATATAAAACAAATTACTTTTTCTAAGTAAACCATTTAAAATAATTAATTATTTCAAAATAAATCATATTACAATCAGGAAATCACTGATATAGCTCAAAACTTTTTCATAGACACTGACGATTACAATTCCCATGTAAAATATTTTCCATTTATCATACAGTTCCATAAAAAGAGGCTAAAACATAAAATATGAATTAATCAATTAATCAATTTTTTTTTGGCCAGATTCGAACCAACATCATTAAACTTGAATGCTAAAGTTTACGCATTAATATACTTGGACATCAAAACCTCAATGAATCAATATTTAGCTGAGTTTAGTCATTGTCTTACATGTGATACAATATTATTACGTATAAGAACTAATGACCAAAACAAAATTAAACTACTTAAAGCAATAATTTTTTTTCTTTCTCTACTTCCAAGTTGCCACCAGCCGTGTTAAATTTTTCAAATAATAATAATAAACTATAATTAAATTTGATTCATATGTAACTAGCAACTAAAACCAAATAACCTAAATTAATACATATATAATAATTTTGTATTATATATAGAACTGTTTCAGAAGATTATTATTATTAAGATAAAACTGAAAACATATTCAGTTCTGACCAACCAACATAAATGTGACTGAAATGGTCAGAAATTCCATTTCTTAAAAACTCCAAATTAATGAAGCAAGCCATCCTAACACTTTATGTTTATTTGAGAACTCACATAAATAACTCTCGTAGGAACAGCTATTCTGAAGCTCACTGCTTCATCAATTTTTTGCGCACATTGTAAAAATTCTTCTTGCCAAGATTCTATCATATCAGCATAGTGTCTAACATTAAAGTATAGTCGCCTGTAATTAAGAGGAAAAGCAATTAACAATAAAACAGACCCAAGGGGGGGGGGAATTGAAAACATTCCATATATAGGTAAGTATCAGTAAAAATTGCATGAAAATTTAATATGCAACAAAATTATTAATTTCCTTTCTATAACAGTTTTGAGACCAAAAAAAAAAAAAGAAAGAAATTAAATAGCTTTAATGTATTGATACTAATAAAAGATTAATTAAGCTGATAGAGTACACTTAATTATTTAATAACCATATTGTTCTATTTGTTCTCATTCTATCTCAAAATCTAATATTGCTTATTACATAATTAAATATAATTCAATTTTTTTATTGAAATTTAAAAAAATAGAGTAAAATGTTAAATATAATAACATTAGCGAACTAGGAATGATAAAACTTCACCTCATATATGAAACAACTTGTTGTTGTATTAGTGACATCCAGAATGCGTATGTGAATTCTTCATCACTCAGTTTTACAGGTTTGTCAAAAACTAAAGTTTCTAATCCTTCCTTTGTTCCACACCAATAAATGCGATCTGTTACTAGCTTATTGGCAGCCATTGCTGCTTCCTGAGCATGTTGAACATGTATAAGAAGAATGGATGCTAGAGAATCAAGGGAGTCACCAAGGATACACGGATCTGTAATCAAGTCAGTACATTTATGTTATCGATTAATTAAACTCTGAAAATAAAATTTTCAATGATCATATAAAAACAGGGGAGAGTACTCCATAATACCATCTTCTAGCTCCAGAAAACTGAACTCATATCGGGTCCAGTGCCAATGAACCTACAAGTAGCTCATTAACTGCAAAAATCAAGTTTCATTTTCATGTTTAAACTTCAATTACATACTGTATATAAGCCATTCAATCCAAAAACCAGTTAAGTCATTATCGTAAGTTTTACACATCTGTTCAGAAAATAATTTATTTGCGGTTTGAAAGATGAATTTGGCCTATGAAAAATATTTTGTTATTTTCTATAAGTTTCTTTTCATTATGAGTACATGGTGCAAAACTTCAAATAATGATACAGTTTTTTTTAGTTTTTGTATCAAAAAATCCTTTGTCTTGCTAGTTTTGACAGAAAAAATTAATAAAAACTGATGTAACAGCATATCACTTTAATTTTAATTAATTTGTTGAATGGGTAGTGAACTTTATAAAGCATATAAAGTAAAAAATAATTTCGGGGTGGCAGTCATAAACAGGCTAAATAGTCGTAAAACTATTTTACTAAAAGCCAACGTTATAACCCGACTTTGTAGGGTTATACTCCTAAAGTTTATAAAATATTTATCAAATATGAACTTACAATTTTCAACTCCTAGACCACCTCTGTTTTTAATTTTATTATACAATAAGACACCAGCTGTCACACATGCCACTTCTGATAGTATTTTCCTTTTTTCTGATGTTTCAGCCATAAACATTTTCGTTAGATCAGTGAATGAAAATATACTCCCTAACACTTCTGAAAAATCAAGTAACATGTAACGTTTTTTCAACATTTACTAAGATTATCTGGTTTAAATGAACTCTTTTTCCATTATTTTCAATGTCCTCTATTGTGACAACATGCAATATTATTCAATAAAAACAGTTTTCACATTAAAATGAGGTAGGAAAGTAATCAGAATAGATATTCATACAGACATAACATCATTTCAAAAATTATCATTACTAATATTCTTGATTTAATAGGTATTGAATTCATAATTCTTCAAATAAACAGATACCGTTAATCTATTAAAAAAAAAAAAAAAAGTACCTTGACATTCTTGGAACATTTCTATTTCTCTTGGGTCTCCCATTCCTGTCAATAGCATTGCATATATGACAATCAGCTTGTAGACATCACTCATTTTATCATTTTCTACTGGTTCTGAAGTAATTATTTTTTTAACCAATGGTTCAATATACATACGTTTCAAGCTTTCATATTCTTTTACTATATGTTCTGAAATCAGATTTACAACTTAGCTAAGACAGCTTCCTAACTTATTGTAAATATTATAATGTAACTAGCTTGATTTTTTTTTCTTCAACAATCAAAAAAATCATTCCATAACAATGCAATGAATATCCGTTGATGATCATAATACATATAGATTGAAGGAGATGATATGATAGGTACGAACAAGTTGTATACTTATGTGATTTGAAGTATTGAAGTTACCAGTATTGTTTTGAAATAAAAATTTGTTGTGAGAATTTAGATAGCAATAGATGGTATAGACCATCAATAAAGAAGCAATAAACGTTAATAAAATAAAGTTTAATATATAAATATATCTTCTCTAAGAAGTACCTAAACAATATCAAATTCTAATTTTGATATGAAAGATAAATGAAACCTTATAATAATGTCAATTATTATCTATCTTTTTTAAAAAAAAAAAAGTTGTTTTGCCTTGATATTGCCTTAATTAATTACCAGATGCTTTCTCATAAATTATACATTACTAGCATCTATTAAGAATGCATTGTTAGAGATGAGAATGAAAATCATTACAATTAGACAATGTCTACTTAACGATAAGAAAAAAAAAAATTAAAAGTAATTAGTTAGTTTAAAATGACAGTAAATTGAAATAAAAAAAAAATCATAAGGTACAAATTTTAATGCTGAAATCTTCAAGATAATAAATAAATAAATAAAAATTGTATTTTGAAACCTTCTAAAATTCAATTTTGTCTATAGTTCGCCCATAATTATTTGGCAGTTCGAGGATAAACTCAAGTGATGCTCAGTTGTATGCTCAGGTATTGAAATCCCAAAACTAAGGGTGTACAATGCTATGATAAAGCCAGTTCTAATACATGGCTGTGAGACGTGAGAAACTAATCAGCATCCTGGAAAAAAGTGTTGAAAGATTTGTGAGGAAAATCCTCCTCACGATGACCAGAGTGATCTGGGATAAGAGTACTAACACATGGATAAGAAAGACCAATAAAGAACTGCTCACAGAAACTGGTCAATCAATATTCCATGATATGAAGGTACTGAGGTTAAGATAGGTGGGGCATGTAGCTCCTAGCACTCCATCTGAAAGCCTCTACGTAACAATGAATGCCTCAACAGAAGGCAAAAGACCATGTGGAAGGCCAAAAAGCAGATGGATAGATAGAATCAACAGAGCTGCATACAGATAAATGGAAAGAAATAGCCCAAGACAGGCAGAGATGGAGCAGGCTTGTTAAGGCGGCAAAAGATCTACATGGTCTGTAATGCCAACAGAAAAAAACAAATACTATAAATTACTATTATTTTACCATCAGAACTGTATTCTTTATGAAATACTTCCTGTAATTTATACAATTTTCTTAACCCCAAGTCATTTCCACAAAGTATTTCTACACATGTGTCAGCAAGTCTTGTAAGTTCTTCTTTACGTGTTGAAGCATTATATGAAAAATTCAGATCAGGATTTAATAATGTATTTGTAATCTGAAAAATATATTTTTAAGTCAATTTTCCTCAGTATTTTTTCAGCCTTTAAATATATTAATTAATGGGCTATTGGTCTAATTTGCTACATTGATTTGCTATACTAAAAAGTAAGTAAATGGATTAATACAAATAAATTAATTTAGCTTAAACACAAATAACAAAAAATATCTGTTACTTGGAAAGAAAAGAGTCAACATTCAAAACTTTAAATAATGAAATCAAGATAGCACATGTATTAACTGTTAAAAGGCCCAATTTCTTCTGATATTTAACTGCTGAGATTAACTGATGATGGAATGGCATTAGCCCTTTTGATAATTAATATTTTATTCTGGTTTCTTTTTTGAAGTTCACTGCAATTTCAAAGTTTTGAACATTGGCACATTTTATTCCATAATATAAATGTATTTATGTGTATCAATAAAGTTCAACATCGTTTTAAAAATTAAAACATGCACTTGAAATATTTTATATATGATAAATACGAAATTTGATCACTTAATGGATTTTGGTAATTTAGGATTAATCATTTGTTCATTTTATTCAAGTAAAATAACATATACCACAAGTTCTACTCCCTTTGGCGAGACATCTACACCTTTCAAAAAACATTCAGAGGAAATTCCTGCTACAACATTTTTCATGAAGAGAGTATTTTCTTCTAAGTACAACATTTTGTATTCCTTGATTTATTATTCGGTCAAAAGAGAAGATTCTTGGATGATGAGAAGATAAAAATCTCACTACTGGTAGATAAAGATGTTACCATAGCAACTTTTAACAACTATTGCATTAATCAAACAATTATTTTTCATAAATTAATAATTATTATCAATATTTGTAGTAAAAAAAAAAATCAAATTTATCAATCAACCCATACAAATTTGTTAGTATCATAAGGAAAATTATTTTTAGGAAGTTTTAATGAAAAATATTCAAACTAGAAAAACATTTTTGATCTTTGTCTATGTGTTTCTTTTTTCTTATGCTTAATTTACTGTTAAAATACAGAATTTTTAAGTACTGTAGATTTTTTTTAAAGTTTCACTGTAACTTTTTGATATTTTTTTAGTTACATAATTACTATACAGGAAGCGCTCCAAGCAACAAAATAACCTGGACCTTCTTATCAGTGCTAGTATCAGAGAAATTGCCACAGGTATGGATGTTGTAAACAGGTTAATCAACGACTTGTTTGCCGTGTTCCTTCAGTTAACATAATGTTAGGTATAAAATAGTAATATTAATGCTTAATATTAACACTTTAAGGTAAGAACGTGATAATGGAGGAATTTGATGTTGAAGGTTTTTCTTCAGTAATGCAAAGGATAAATGCTGTCTGCCTCAAAAATGGATTGGTAATTTATTTGCTTTAACTTTCCTTCAAGTAAATGTTTAAATAAATTTTTATCTCTCTTATTTATTTATTATATCCAGAAAAATAAGCCGAGGTTAGTTGCTGTCAGTAAAACAAAACCCAAGGAAATGATAATCAATGTTTACAACCAGGGGCAGCGCCAATTTGGAGAAAACTATATTCAAGAACTAGTAGAGAAGAGCAATGATCCTGATGTACAAAGTTTGATCGAATTCCATTAAAAGTTTATTAATACACTTTATAAACTTACTTATTTTTTCATGTTTTATGTTTTTATTAGATCCTAGGGAAATGCAAGGATATTAAATGGCATTTTATCGGCCACTTACAAACAAATAAAATCAATAAAATAACTTCAGTTCCTGGACTTGATGTTCTTGAAACACTTCATTCAGAAAAACTTGCAGTTACATTGAATGCAGCTTGGGAAAAGGCAAAGAAGGAAGAACCTTTAAAGATTATGGTACAAGTAAACACTAGTGAAGAAGAAGGTAATGTAATTTTATTTCAATTGAATCGGTTATTTCAGAAACAGTACATATGTAATTTTTATTGGATATGAGTTGGAAATTGTTCCGGATACATTGTTCATAGACACATTTTTTTAATGTAAAATTACATAAATAGAGTAATGATGCATTATTTTTTTATATAGAATTTTATCTATGAAAACTTTTATGTATAATTTTTTTTTAGCGATTATTTTTTTTATTGTAATAATTATCACATGTATTATTTCTGAAATAACCAGTCATTTCTTTGTTGAACATGACATTGACATTGCATTACTAACAAAAAGTCATTTTTCAATTACAAAACTCATTACCACAATATTTTACCTACAAGGGTATGTTGTGTACTGTGTTGACTATCCCTGCGGTGGTTTGGCAATAATTGTAAAACAAACGAAAGCTTATACAGCAAACTTACCAAACATCTAACCAACTTACAGACAACTAACAATTCTCTCTGGCAACAAAAAAGAAAGATACTAGGGTACCACCAAACAACAAAGATTCCTCTCCGTAAACCTGACAATTCCAGGGCTAGGTGATAAAGAGAAAACAGGCTTATTTGCCACTCATGTACAGACGTATTTCACCCATATGATGACCTGCCTGATCAACAGCACTGCTCAGACGTCCAACAAATTTTCATTTTTCCTCTTCTTCTTTCTCTAACTCCTCCTCCTACCACTCCTTCAGACATAGAATTTTGTATTAAAAAATTACCTCGCAGGTAATTTCCTAGTTTTGACCTAACCATACCTAAAATTGTACGACTTTTACCCAATAAAGTATTAATCTTCCTTTCAGCTATTTACAATTCTATTCTTTGGCTTACTTACTTTCCTATAGTATGAAAGTTTTGGTATCATAAAGATGATACCAAAACCAAACAAACCTTCAAACCAAGTTACATCTTACAGGCCTATCAGTCTTTTACTCATATTTTTCAAAATATTTGAAAAATTGTCATTAAAGTGACTCTATCCATTTTTAGACGCAAACAATATTATTCCTAATCACGAATTTGGCTTTAGACCTGCACTTTCTATAATACAACAATGCCATAGAGTGATTGATACAATTGCACTGGCATTGGAAAAAAAGGAGTTTTGCACAGCAGCTTTCTTAGACTTCACAGAAGCCTGCAATAAAGTGTAGTATGATTATCTCTTTTGTAAAATTAAACTGATCCTACCATATACCTACTATATAATTATTAGGTTGTATCTTGAGGACAGGTTTTTTGTTGTTAACCAGGATGGTAAACATTCCGACTACTGTTGAATCGGTGCTATAGTACTGCTGGGCAGTATTTTAGAATCAGTTCTGTACTCTATTTACACTTTTGATGTTCTACAGTTTCCAGACATATTACTCACAACTTACACAGACGACACTGTCATACTCTCTACAAATTCTAATCCTGGCACACAAAAATTAACATACATAAATCAAATTTGGTTACATTTACCCTTAGGCATTAGGATTGCTCTCCATTGACACTTAACAATATCTCTTTGCCAAATCATGTAGAGCTAATTATTTGGGACTCACATTGGACATACGACCTGGAAATCACACATGACAACATTATAAAAGAGATTGAACCATCTAGTAACATGATTGCTACAACACAAAAACAAACTATAACTTTCTAACAAAATTATTATATACAACATGCAACTTAGACCCATATGGACGTATGCAACTCAGGTATGGCGTTCATACAAAAAAAAAACACATTTACAGGCTATTCAAATCTTCCAATCTAAATATCTCTGACATATCACTCATTATCTCTTCTACCAATAAATCGCTTCATAATGACCTATAAATACCACATGTGACTGACATAATTAAGAAATATTACAAACAATTTTTATCACTCACTTATTGGGCATCCTAATCCACTTGTACAGACATTACTAACAGACACGCTACCACAGAATCCAATAAGGAGGCTTAAACGTCTCTGGTGCTCCAGTAGGACCTACTACCTTAGAACTTCACTTTAGGAGTGCTTTCACTGAGAGGTTTCTCCAATCAAGCATTCATGTTATTCTATGTGGAAGCTCACTAATGATGATCACATTTAAAATATATGGCCAAAGGCATTTATAAAATTTTCAATAAATAAAATGGTATTTTAATGTTTATTTGTTAGGGTTTAATAACCTTATAACCTCTGACTAAGGTGGAATGGATGGATTATCTTAGAAATAACTAACCTACTCTACCAGTTATGAGAAGATCAAAATAGATTTCATGGGTCTGGCACAAAATAAATCTCAACCCATATAGGCCCGATTTGAAGTTGGTAACGTGATGCGTCAACACTGTTGGCACCTCATACTTTAATTATTAAAACAATTTTCACCACTCAGAACTGATTGCCATTATTAAACTACCACTTATTTAGTGTCTACTGTCTTTTGGACTGTGAGAATGATTCAATGTATCATTTTAGGTGTCATCTCACATAAAATGTTAATTAAGTCACATCTTGCTTAATATGAAACATATTATGTTGTAAAGTAGGAAATGAGTGAATTATGAAAAAAAAAAAAAGTTTAAGTTGTTTTGAACACTTCGAATTGATCAAATGAACATTAGAACAGTTATAGCAGTGGGCCATTACTCAGCAGATGTTAAATAATCTTTCTGCAGACCTCATTTTCTTCTGCAACAATGTTACATTACTACCCGTTTTAATTTGTGGTTTTATATAGTGAGAATTTTTAATTTTAATTTAATCAAGTGATTGTTAACCTTTCAGTAGGTACAAAAAGAAATTATGTAAGAGTAACTTCATTTCATCAAGCAGTAGTGAATCATCGCCAAATATTTTCGATAAATGATAGTTAGTACAATGTCTTAGTTCAAAACATTTTGCAATTTTTTTTTATTTGGAAAATAAAAAATAAAAAAATCTCATTATTAACCTTTCCACCTTTCATGTAGGAGATTTCATTACTTTTATTGCAATATCTTATATGCTGCCATTGGTAGAGCCCATAATATTCTTTTACTTTTTTATTTATTTGAGGTTTCATTGTTTTATATTTTAGATTATAGATTGTATAAGATTATAATTTTCATGCTTTTACTATAAGTAAAAGTAGTATCAGTACCAACTTTTAATGCAAATCTTTAATCAGTTGTGAATCTTTAACTTAAAACTGAAAGCAATTAATAATAATGCAAATTGTTAAAGGATTTTTTTAATAGGAATACAAAATATTTTCATTTAATTCTGTGTAGGAAGACTTATTTTGTACTTTGATTTGCCAGTTATCTATTTATCTTATTTGCTTCTTCCAAATTAATTTCAAGTTTTTGTTCATATTTGTTTTTTATACTCATTTCACTTCTAATTTTTTAGTAAATATAATAATTTAATTATCAATGTAATAAAAACATTGGTTTTATCTGAAGTTCAATCAAATCCAATAAATCAAGCAATTAATTTCAGAACCGGTTCTATCTATTTTCAAAATTTATTACAAGAAAAGTTTGATGTTCGATTTCATTTTTTAATGGAACAACGTAATAAATAATAATTATATTTATCATGTTTAATTACTACTAACAATGAAAGATCTTTAATTATATATTATAAACTAAATTAAGGGTTTTGTAGGAGAAAATATTTTGAGAATTCAGCATTTCAGACCTGCCACACTATTTTAATGAGGTTAGTATCTATAATAAATTAGTTTCTATTTAACATTTTAATACAAGTAAATAAATGATCTTTAAATCATTATACGTTACATTGAAATGACAAGCTTAATCAAAATCGTTAGAACCATTTTCTATGATAAAAAGTACCATTTCCAATTAGTCGATTTTGACAAAAATGTTTCTGTTACGTCCCAGGCGTATACATACATTTAAAATATTTAAATCATAATTTTAAATATACTGAAACATAATTTTAGTTTCAAACATTTTTTTTTTTTTTGAACTAGGCTAGACTGTTCACATTTACATTCACATAAACACAGACATACACCAAGAATTTTTTATGAAGCTTGTTTATTTTGATTTATGGAAAATTGAAACATTTATTTTTGTTGAAAGCTTAGAATCAAAATTTTTCATGGTCGCAATACTTTCTATACATATATATAAGTAATATATATAAGTAAGATGTGACTTAATTAGCATTTTATGTGAGATGGCACCTAAAATGATACATTGAATCATTCTCACAGTCTAAAAGACGGTAGACATATATATATATGTATATATATATATATATATATATATGTCTACCGTCTTTTAGACTGTGAGAATGATTCAATGTATCATTTTAGGTGCCATCTCACATAAAATACTAATTAAGTCACATCTTACTTAATATGAAACATATTATGTTCTAAAGTAGGAAATGAGTGAATTATGAAAAAAAATGTTCAAGTTGTTTTGAACACTTCAAATTGATCAAATGAACATTAGAACTATATATATTTTGAAACTAATCACCAAAAATGGTTCGTTATTATTTTTTCTTTTTTAATTGCATATATTGTCATATTAATTTTTATGTATGTTTTTTTTGTTCTACAGAAAAGAATGGATGTGAACCTAACACTTGTTGGAAATTAGTCGATTTTGTTATGAAAAAGTGTCCTCATCTCAAATTCGTGGGCCTTATGACTATTGGTCAGTTTGGATATGATTTGTCTCTTGGGCCGAATCCAGATTTTTTGGTAAGTGAAGTATCTTCTTGTTATAGGTTTTTTTTTTTTTTTGTTCATTGTGATTTGAATATATTTATATTTAAAATCATTTTTTTTAAGTGTTTAAGTAAATGCAGAGATGAAGTTTGTGAAAAATTGAACCTACAAAAAAATGATGTAGAATTATCAATGGGAATGTCTGATGATTTTGAACATGCTGTAAGTTGTATTAAATTATCTATTACATATTTCTTGAAATTGATATCTTATGTATTTCATTTTTTATTTTCTCTTTTAAGATTGAACTCGGCAGCACTAATGTTAGAGTAGGTTCATCAATATTTGGTTTACGAGCAAAGAAAATTAAAGAGAATAGTAATATAACTGAAGGAATGGCTAATGTAACTGTTAACTGAAGAAGAAAAGGCTTTTTATTTTTAAATATTTATGTATATAATTTTAATAAAAACTGTTGATCAATGGAGATCGATCCAAAAATTTTCATTCTGTATTTTTATTTATTTCTCATTATTTTCTTTCTTAAATAGTTACCCCTTACATGTTTTTATTTTGTTTATTCTATTTGTTATATATACATATATATATATATATATAGTTTATAAAAATTCCAAATCTATTTTTCATCTGATTAGAATTCTAATAGAAAATCCAAAAAGTGTGATTCAAGAATTTCTTAATGGTTCTATATCATCTGCTAATTTTTTTTCAAGAAAAAGCCGCCTGCATTGTTAGTTGAGAGACAAGATAATGTAATATCTAAAAGTTTATGTAGGTCTATTTCCCATAATTAAATGACATTTATATCCTTAAAAATAAAATTATAACTAAAATTGGTTCAATTTCATGTCTTATTGTTTATACCAATAATGAATCAGAAGATATAAATCAACAAAAATTACCACATTTTTTATGCAGATCTTGCAACTATATCACACAGTGACTAAAATATAAATATAAGTACAAAAACACTGATTTCAGAAAATAGTCAATGACTTCCTGAGTTTAAGGTCCAGGGTTCAAATCTGGCTAATAAGTAATTTTTTTTTATTGATGATATTTACAAATAAAAATACATTCAGTAAATGTGAACAAAATAATATAATAACATGAAGCCACTTGTTGAGAAACTACCCACTGGCAGCGCTCTAAAAAATGTATTTACAGAAGGAGCTCTCGAGGACATCACAGCAATTATTATTTCTATTTCATCGGTCTTCGATCAATCCTGAGGTCAGGAGACCCTCCTGAGGCACACCTAGCCTCTATAAAGTGGGGTGGGTACTCTTAAATTAAATAATTAATTAAGGTAAAAAAAATCTGGAGATTGAATGTAATTTCAGCCCGATAACCTCTCTGCACAACCCAAGACCCTTCATGGGTTGTATTAGTATAGGATTTCAGGAAATGGTGCTATACAAATATTTTTGAACAATATACAAGCAGAGATAAATAAATATCATTTACAACTACAACCATATTTTCTTAAGATAATGTTTGGCTTGCCTAAAAATACTAATCAGAGGCATAATATGATTTTGGTATTGTGTGGAACCAAGTTTTGAAGTTCCATATGCTTGATCCAGCACCTAGACAAAGTGATTTCATGCAAACCTACCATTTATTCAAATATGATGTAATAAGTTTTAATTCAATTAGCCTACCCAGATTTAAACCAAGTATTATTATATTTTCGATGAAAATATAAATTTCAATCTATTTGTGTTATATGAATATGTGTCTAATATTTTTCACAGATATACTAATGTGCCATGTATCAATATAAAACACTTGCCTAGGTTCACTTCTTAGCGGGGTTTATTATTGAACTATGGCAGAAGGTCAGAATAGCTAATAGTTTATTACGCGTGTCAATGTACTTCCTTGTATCGCAACAGGACGATCAGTTTATCTGCTGTGCCTACTTCCTGCGGCCTTCGTCCCACCCGGTGTCGGTGTCGGTACTCAAGGCGCTAGTCAGCGTGCGCTTCTGAACCATTTCCAAATCGTGAAAAATATATTTTTAGAATATAATTAATATTTATTTTAATTAAGGAATATAATAGGAATGAAGGAGGATATAGATAAATTTAATTTGTTAACTGAGGATAATTTCATTACATTTTTTTTTTTATTGACTATTGAAATAGTTCTTACAGTGGAAGCGACGGTTCTAGGAGAACCTTTATTACTTTATGTATTAATTATGTGTCAACAGTTTCAAAACAGAGAGCAAGGAGGAAAACATGGAACAGACCACAGCAAATATAATTGTATATGATCGACGATTTGTTCAATCCTACTTTCGCTTGCACTGGTTTTAAGAAGAGAAAAGTAATACAATTTTTGAAGAGAGGGGAGGGTGGTTCAGGCTCCATTAATCTTGGGGAGATGGGCACCTCTGCATGCTCTAGATTCGAGTTCGGACAAGCCTAAAATTGCACGGCACAAAACGTTTTTTTAGAAATGTACTTCAGTCTTATATGACCTGTGCCGTTATTATATACTTTTTATAATATTAAAGATAATTCATTAGAACTTTTTAATTGGGATTAAGGAATTCTCGTTGGAAAGGGTTTCAATCATTACTATTACTAATATAGGCAATAAAAGACGAAGTATATTTTGATAAGGGAACGGTTTATATTTTAAGTAGAGGTGAGCACAGAAGCCAGACATTATATGTAATCCATAAAAACGAATTTATTACACGTTTTAAATGTGTAACTGAAATAATGTCTAAAAATTGCAACAATTTGGTCTTATTGAAAAGTAATGCAATATTCTTATTAGAGGGTATAGAAAACTAAACTTAAATGTTTAAAAAAATAACTTTGATTTTACTCAAAGCTGCCTTTTAGTCAGGAATGACCATCTCCCTCTAGGTCCATATCTTATAAACCTCACCTCTCTTTTCATGATATTTACTCACTCACCTCTTCTTAAAAATGGAATTAGAAAAATCTTAGACGATATACAATTAAAATTGCTTCAGTCTGTTTCACGTTTTTCCTTTGTCCTCTGGAAAAGTGTTTCCTTCGAGAAAACAAAAATTCAACGCCCGGTCAAAATATGCTCCACTTAAAAATTTAGATGACGCCTCTTGCTTCATAAAACCCTCTTCTGGGCATCTCTGCTTCTAACAGCTGTCCACAAAACTAATTGGCGAATGGCATTTGTTTATTCATCACTGTTGGTTGCTGTTCTATGCAGGATTCTTGATTTAATTTGTTTTTGAAAAGGTTATAGGTATTCTTTATTCAGGGGATAATTTTATGAAATGGGAGGTATTTAAGAGTAAGAAAGAAAATAGTTATAACTGTCACTTAAAGGGAAAAGTTAGATGGCACTCACAGGAATAGAGGATTAAATTTTTCGGTCTGTTGCCACCGGATGTGTTGATGTATAATTATGAAATTCTCAGCGTGACTGCTTGATCCGTTTCCGGTATGAATGTGAAGTTCATAATTTTAAGACTGTTCTTACAGATGGACTGTTAAATTTTAACAGCAGTTTTAAACAGATGTGCCCATCCCTCTTAAGAGCGATGGCATATCCTCTCTCCATCCCTCATGAAATTTTCGTAAAAAATGTGCAATTGAAAGTAGAATTATAAAATTTTGAATTTATACAACCAATTTTATCACGCTATGGTCTGATCTATGTTTTCCCCTCGCATCCTGGTTCGGAAGTACCTCCACATTGAAACTCAATAAAAAGATAGTAATATTTCAATAACAATTAGAATAATTCCAATATTGCTTAGATTACATCTCCGCAGTCAGCCCTGATGATGGTCTGAACTTCAGGTCGAAACGTCCGCTAATGTCAAAATAAGTAGTATAATTTATTTTTGCCTTCTTATTTGACTGATCACCCCAACTATTCTTCTCTTCATTATTCACGACAGTCAACCATTTACCAATTATAATTCAAATTTCGTTTATTTATACTGAAATTTAATGTAACATCAACATGGTCATATTTAATAGCTCTCAACTTTTTTTTCCTGGTTTTGTTACTCAAAACTTAGTTTGAAAAACATCTTGTGATTTTGTGCGTTTTGGCTGATGAATTATTTTTTTAGAATCAGTGGTTCCAAGAATGTCACGAATAGCAGTCAATTATTTGAAAAATTAAGTGACAATAACATTTTTAAATCATAAAATTCAGCAATTATTAAAAAAAGATTTTTTTTACTATCAACCTCTATCGACTTTATTAATTTTTTTTTATCGATTTTACCACTCCAAGATTAAGATATTAAGGTGTTAAAATGGCTTTCTTAGTATATATTTTTATTTTTCAAATAATGGTATAAATAATTATTATGGCATATTAGTGTTGGTACTTATTTCACTGGACAACAGGTTCCTTATTTTTAGAAAATCTTATTAGATTATTTAGTCGAGGTTGGTTCTAAAATAAGCTTAGATTCTTCTTCAGTTTAGTAAAAAAAGTATAGGAAGTGAAACTGTGAAATTCAAGGAAAGAACCAGAAATTCCATAAACGATTTTTTTTCCAAACAAAAACATCGGGGAACTAGATGATAACAAAAAAAATTAATATATTCATTTCTGTCACAAATTTTTCCAGCTTTAACTTTACATATTACATTATTATCGCTAGAACGCATAGTTTCACTGAAATAAGCGAAAAAAATGAACTTTTTGATTCGTAAATTCAAATCTACTGAAGTCCTCGGGAATGGGGTTACTGACTATTATTTCATATCTAAGACAATAATACTATAAATTTAAATGGTTGGTAGCTTTCTATACCTTTCGGCCCTCTGTAAATATGAATTTCTATCTATATACGCACTAGCGGATCCAGGATTTAATTTTGGGGGGAGCTTCAGCCCGAAAGATTTTTTTTTCATATAAATATTACGATAATTAATTTGAAAAAAAAAGAAAGAAATTAACTACATTTATGAAATGGTGTTTAAATGGTTCCTGAAGATCTATTAAATGTAATTACAGGAACAAGAATACTTTAAGAGATAGTTTTTAATATTTTTTTCTGTAAAACACGGTTATATTTTACCATTTTGGGAGGGGGGGAGAGGGGGGAGGCTTCAGCCCGAAAGCCCTCCCTGTAGATCCGCCTGTGTATATACGGTCTCTATCTATCTTTACCTGGTCGCCATTTTGTATTCCAGCCGCTCTCTGCTTGTATACGTCCATTTTTTTCATCAGGCAGTGAACATGATTAATTTACAAGATTAACTTAAGTATGAAATAAGTCACATATTTTGCCGCGTGCCCCCGGACTATTAGTTACTATGTGGACAAAAAATAAACTATAAAATTATGTTTAAGTGGTCCTTGAAGCTATATAAAAAAAAACTGATTAACTAAACTAATTAATATCGAATACTTGATGGTTGACCGTTGTATATTATTGAGTAAGGAAATGGTTCTGTGTGACGCCATAAAAAGACTGAAATAGCGAGAAAAAAATTTTTTTATTTCAAACCAACGTTTTGGCGCTACTTTGCAGGTCTTCTCCAGGGCTAAAACAAACAAACTAACTAGATAATATTTGTTTCTTGGCTCGTGCTTTTAGTTCGTAGCTTTATATACATCATAATTTAAAAATATTTCAAGTTATGATTGTTTAAGTATTTAGGTCAGGTCACTCTCAGGAACAAATATGGAACAATGAAGAAAAATATATTTTTTGGAGAGAAGGAGAAGGGGAGAAGAGATCAAGCCCGAAAGCCCTCCCTTTGGATCCGCCAGTATCTCCATTTGAAATGTTTTGTAGCTCTTTTGAGTACTACCATAACATCTTTATAAACATTTGTGAATATTTCACCATTTTACAAAATTTACTCCTTATTTAATACCAAAATTATAAAATAAATGGACAATACATTTATTCATATATATTTCTGCTTTTTATTTTGTAATAAAATTAAAAATTTTATATATTTGGTAAATATTACTTGAATACAAATATACTGGAATGAATCATAGCTCTAAGTTGGTTGTTGCATTTGCTGATTTTAAATTTAATTAGTCTTTAAATAATAAATTTTCAATAGTAATATCTGTTGTAAATTGTATTTATACTTTCACTTACCTACATGTGTAATATATAGTAAGGGTAAGTAAATTTTCGAATCTGAGTTTTCAACGGAAATACATGTTTTGAGATCTCAGTCCAAATAACCAAGTCCAGCAAAATGGTCTGTGTGTGTGTATATATATGTATGCATGTATGTATGTGACCAATCTAGTTTAAAAACGAAAAGTCTTATGAATGTGAAATTGCATATTTAAGGTTTGTATATAACTCAGATCTTACAGCAGGTTTTTCGTCAAATTTGGCTACCAAAAGTGCCACTTTATATTAACGGTGAAACACATCTTTACAATTTTCTCAAAAAGGGTTATATCGATTTTGATTAAACTCGGTCTGTCATTGTGTAATTAAATGATCTTTAATATTATTTAGGTCTTATTCCCATTGATGTCACTTTACAGGGCTTAAATGCTCAATGTTCATATACGCCTTCCTCTAAAGTAATTTCAATATGGTTTATTTAAAAAAAAAATTACTCTCTTTTATTGAAAGTAACTATAAAAAATGGCTAAATATTATGTTTGAAAGAAAATAATAGTTGGAAACTGGAGAAAAAAGAAAAATGCTTATCCAGGTCGAAAATGAATCTCTGAAAATAATAATCAGAAGGTATACGTATAATATATCGTTAGAAAGTAAAGAGAAAAAATAATATCAAATGCATAAAGTTATAGAAGGCAACGGAGAGTGAAGAAAAAAAATATAATTAATAATTTCAGAAAACTAACATTATTTAACGTAAATTATATGTTTCTAAGGAAATTAAATGAAATTTTCGGTACTTTTAGTCTAAGGGGCCGTTTTGAAACCTCACTTCTTATCTATCTTATCTAACGTCATGTCATCATGTTACATAACCTCCCTCTTCTTATCCCGCCAATCTTTTGAGTTATTGCATTGTTTGGTTTTCAGTTATTCCCTTATTACGTTCACTTATTAAATTGTTTACTTTTGGCCCGTTTGTGTTTATTTTTAGTTTTTGGCCCGTTTGTGTTTATTTTTATTTTTTGGCCCGTTTGTGTTTATTTTACATTTTTTTTTAGTTTGTGACCCCTTGGTGTTTATTTTTCATTTTTTTTTTCGTTTATTTTCGTCATATTATGGATCATCTTAGAATATGGGATTTACCGTCTTTAGAAGAACAGGCAATTCAGTATTTTCAAAATGTTGGGGTACTTGCCGACGTGAAATTGTGTGAACGAGGTCATCGAATGAAGTTAACTTTAATTTAATTTTTTCTTTTCTATGTAAATATGTTCTTTTAAATTTGTTATGATGCCGATGTTATGATTATAATTTGTTATGATGTTTGATGTTTTATATGTACATATCTTCTTAAAGTGTTTTTTTATTATTTAATTAATATATTTGCCGTCAAATAAAAGTATTTTTGTTGTTATTACATTTGTTTTTGTATCTGTTTACACTTTCAATAATACGAATTTAATACAATAATACGAAGATGTGAAGTAGGAGAAGGCTTATCACTGCGTTATGGGAGCTATCAGTGTTCAGGTTATAAACATTGCCAGATAGCAGTCAGTAGCGGCCCCTTAGATTAAAAGTACCAAATTTTCTTACTAACTGTAAACTTTAAAATTTTTTGAGTGATTCTTTAAAAACAATAAATGTAATTACACGGACAATAATACTTTTAGATGTAATTATTAATTTTTTTTTCATAAGATATGGTTATATTTTACCATTCTAGGGAGGGGGGGGGGGCTAAAGCCCAAGAGCCCCCTCCCGTAAATCCGCCTATGCTACAATCCATAATCATTTATAGGTTAAATATTCAGATATACTTTCAAATCTCTCTAGGCATATATGAGCCTTTCGGTTGGCAGAATGACTAACTCCAATTTCAACATTCTTTATGACTAATTTTAGTGATGATTCTAGTGGCAAAGTTTATACTTCAAAGTAGTGCGGTAAGTAAAAGTTGTGTGTTCCCAGATTTTTTTAAGTCGTTGTTATACATTTAATTATTTATTAATCAAATAATAACCAATAGTGAAAATGATATATCGATAGTAGTGTTCGATAAAATTCAAGATGGCAGTGATTTCAAGGACCCTCCCTCTCAAGGCTCAAGCGAATGCCTGTTATTACAGTTGTGCTGTTGGTTGTCAGTGATCTGTTGTTGACAAGTTAGATGATGGAGCTATGGTTGTAATTACTTGTATTATATTCAAAAATGAAGACAGTTTCGTCTGTGAAAGATAGGAATGGCATTGATGTCAAATATTCTCCTGTTGATGGAGAATTTACCCAAAGCAATTCAAGTGAAACTCTTCCTGCACAGGGTTTGAATGAAAGTGACAACCTTATTATTTGTGATTCACAACTAGCATCAAGTTTTCAAGAAGTGAAAATATCCAAAACCCGCTTGAAACCAGGACATTATTTACAGAAAGTTTTTTTACACAAATTAAAAAGTCAAAGTGTACCCAGTTTGGATAAAGGCAAAATTAACAATGGTGTTGGTGATAATAATGAACCTGTCAAGGAGATAAATAATGGCAAATTATTGTCTTCTACCGAAAATGAAAAAAGCAATGAAGAAAGTGTCGACAGGGAAGCAAATGATAGCTGGTATAGGACTTGGCCTGACTGTGGTATTGACAAAGTTCGTAATGGTATAGTTTTAGATAATAATGTCAGTAAGGACAATATTTTGACAGATGGTGCGAGTGATCAGGTTACAGTTAAGTGTAGATCTGCAGTTACATCTCATAATGTCTGTGATAATGTAGTTAAGAAAAATGGAGCAATACCAATTGACAATCTTCTTGAAAATCTGCCCATTGCTTACAGCCCTATAACAAAACAAATACATTTAATTAATAGTGTAGACAACTGTGATTATATAAAGAGGACACCAGTGGATAAACTTGATGAGGTTAAATGTTCAGATAGTTTTCAGACAATACCTCGAGTAAACACTGAAGTTAGTTCATTTTCAAGTACAGTTTCAAGTTTAAGTGATGTTTCTCCATCAACAAATGGTGATTCTGCTGTAGGAAGTCTGTTTGACAATGGTGACAACTGTTCATTGTTATCTATTGGAAATTGCAGCATTGTTTCTGATGATTCGGGTGGAAGTAAACCTAAAAGAAAAGGCATCTCTAGTTTTTTCAGCAGGTAAATTATTTTGAATATTTAATAGTTTACTGTTGTATTATTGAGGAAGGAGATGGTGTGGTGTGGCGGTCATAAATAGACTAAATAATGGCAAAACTATTTTATTAAAAGCCAACGTTTCTACCCGACTTGGCAGGTCTTCAGGGAGGTGTGTTCAGCAAGGAGTTTTACTTACTGAACTGAACTATGTTAATAAAATAGTTTTGCCACTATTTAGTCTATTTATGACCGCCACCCCGGACCATCTCCTTCGTACATTTTTTTTTCTGTTATTATACAATTGGATAATTTATGCTATTCTCAGGAGGGGAATTTTTTTTTTTTTAACTATTACAATTATTAATAATTCAAGTTCTTTCTATAGAACCTTCTCTTCTTGGCTGTCCATTTGACAGTTATGATATTGGTAAGAAATTTTTAAAAGGATTCAAACCACCAAATATTCAAAACCATATGAGGAGTTTGTCAGAGGTTGTGATCAAATAAATATTAAATTGTTAAAATAGTATTTTATCGTTACGCCGACGGTTAAAAATTATTTTAACAATTTAGCACTTATTTGTCTGCAACCCCCCTCTCCCGACCAACTACTTCTCATATTATATCATGGTCAACCATCTCTACACCATTCAAAACCATAGTTCATTATTTTTGATTTTGAAGTTTAGAAGAACCTAAAACTATTTTCTGTAATGAGTATCTATTTATATTAGGTGTTAAGAAATATCCATTTCATATTTAGCCAAGATAGATAGTAGACTGATGTTTATGAACGAGATCAATTTTTTTTTTTTTTAATGTTAATCATATGGATACACAACATTGTTTATTATTTGATATTGACATATTTTCTCTTTTTTCAGCCAATATTGCACATCTACGAATAATGGCTGTACTGCAATAATAGAGTAAGTTATTTACCTTAAATGAAGGTCTTATACCTGATTGTGGTGCATTATTAGTACAATATGTTTTATTGGTTCCAAAAAGAAAATTCATTAGGAAGAACTAAATAAAAATTAAGATGATAAATTTTATAATTCAGATTTCTTTACCTAATTTCTGTTATAAGAAGGTTGTCATCCGTGTAAAAATTACCACATTGAATGTGGCTCTTTGAGTGTTAAATGAGCTAAATAACATTGAAATGGTATATTATATAATATACACGAAATATTTTTTATTATTAACAGAAAATTTCAAAAGGCTAATTGTGGTATTTGCATTAATCTATGTACGTGATGATATGTCTTTAAAGTAGATGTATGTAATCTTGATATTTGCTTATTATAGTGGGATTTTTGTTGTATTAATAATTATTACCGCTTCGATTATATAAATATTTAGTTTAATATGTATTTTAGCTTAAATAAGAAAAAAATATCTTGGAACAAGTAATAATCAAAACACAATCATGTTTTGACTCTTCACTATATATGTGTGTTGTGAAATCATATATATATATATATATATATATATATATATATATATATATATATATCAAAATAATTTATTTTAATCATTTTTTTTTATTATAATAAGGTTAATGACTTCAGATTGTTAATTACATACGTTATTATTGAATACTGTACATTTTATTATAATGAAAAATTCTTTAATTTATAACTTGACAATGTTTTGATCTTGTCTCCTGACGTCACTAGTTTCCGTGTTTAGTCACTTACAGTATGAATAGTGTTATATTACAAAATTAATATTAAATAAATAGTTTTTTTAATAAATAAGATTATTGGAGAAACTGTAAAAATATTCACTGGAGAAATATTCAACATATTTAAAAAGTAAAATTCGTTGTCTCCTAACTAGTTAGCTGGTTTTCATCAATGATTGATAGTATCCAGTTGTAGAGCATTGACATCGTCGTCTTATTAAATCGATAACGATCGTATTTTTACATTCAACTTGCCGAACTTGCCTTTTACTAATAAAGGATTAAAATCATTTGATAAAAATGTTTGTTTATGGTGTATGTTAATTTTCTTATGTAAAATATTCTTCGGTCTCATAACTATTATAAGGTTCATTACGGTATGTGTTAAAGTTTTAGTTAATTTAAGCATGAATGTCTTTCCTTTAAATGTCCTCGGGCAGTGCAAGGACAAAGCTTGCCGATTATATATGTAAATTGTTATAATAAATATGGAGAATAAGAGAAAAAAACCTAAGCATGAATTAAATATTAATTACGAAAATTAATGTCGCAAACTATACACAAGATTTAAACTGAAAATCCGTGCCTAATATTTCCATATATATTAAAATTCTTCCAAATTAATTTTAAATCTTAGTCACAATTTGTATGACATAAATAGTTATGTGATGACTTTACAAATGACAATTATCTGATGTCATTAGACCGTGGTGATTAAAATAGTTGTAAAATACTTAAGAAGGAAATTTCTTAAAATATTTTAGAGCTAAGCTAATAGTAGGTCAATGTCAAGTCGTTGAACGGAAGAGTTAATAAAAGGATTATAATGTTATTATGAAAAACCCAGACTTTGGTGCTGCAAAGTTTTGTAATTCAAATGTTTCCAAATATAAATAAATTCAATTTTATATTAATTCAATTTATTTTATCGCCATTTACTTTTATGATTTTATAAGTTAAAAAAACAATTGAATATTTGATTATAAATCTAATATGTATGAGGAATTATAATATTTTATTTCACAAGAATAATAATATTTTTTACTTCTCTTTACTTTTTAGGGCGACGTTTCGGTATGTGGTTCCGTCTTCATGACCTTTTTATTAATGAAAACAATTTTGCAACACAATCAGCTCTGCATACATTACAAAATCATGACCGGATCTAGAGTGTCAGTCATCATTAGATATTAAATCAAATATTAATTCGTATCGTTCACTGAATTCAGGTCAAAACCACTGAAAAGTAGAAAGAGATATTTTTATTTTAGAAAGAGATAAATATTTAAGCTAAAATATTTCTGGAAATTTACAATTTCGCAATTTTCCTCTTTGCTCTTCCTTAGTGCCACCAGGCCTGGGCACAATTCACGATTGGACATAAACGTCGATCTATTAAAAAAAGAGAAGAGAAATAAAAAATGGGTTTACAAAACATCTCATGAATAAAACATTTTAAAAATATTATTAAATAAACATCAACCGTAAAAAAATAAATTTGACTTTTTCAAAAACTATATAATGAAGTTTTCAATACATTGTTATACGCATAATATTCTTACACATTTGTCAATTCGTTTTAACAGGTCACCATTATTAGCTTTTTCGTCAGTTATGTTTCGAAAAGTTATTATGCCTGTTGTACAAAATACGTCAGTCGCCACATCCTATTAAAATACTCGTCACATTGTATTACACTTGATCATACTCAATTGAAATGATGGGAGCAAATAACAGTGACATTAGAATTTCAATTATGCATTTGCCAACAACTATTGCGCATATGTTAATTATGAACTTTGACTGGGTATCTATAATCGTCGTTCAGGTATGGACGTTATAATTATCAAGGTTCGGCAGTTATAGAGGCACCGTTACTTTGTACTGTTTAGGAACAAAGGTGTTCTTTCCATTAGTGAGTTTAAGAATAATTTCTCTTGAGATGAGATGCAAATTTATTTTTATAAGTGATTATAATTTATTTATTTTATGATACCGATAATTTTAAAGAATTCCTCAACATTTAAGTGTATAGTTTTAAATAGTTCACATTTTCAAATGGGAAGGTTCTCATCTCTTATCATTTTTTTTTATTATTAAGCATTTGGATGTAATAACTTTTACGGTTGTTAAATTATAACAGTAATTTATTATAAACAGTAATTTCGGTTGTCATTGTTATTTGTTAAGAATTATTTTTTATGTAGCCCTAAATCGTGTCTTTTTATTGAACATGATGAGATTCAAGGTCTTGAGATTATTTTCTTATCTGATCATCGTGAATCGTGGGATTTTACATTTGAGATGCATCTAGCTGATTATTTTGTGGTTATCTTCTCTTCATTACATGTGTATCAGGAATAAATAAAACGTTTCACTGATAACGTTCTTTTGACTAAGGGACTGAATTAGAATATAACTCTTACCTAAAGAACTGATATTAGAATATAAAACACATGTATATGTAAAATTAAGAATAACGCAAAACCTCTAAAACTACGCTCTCGGTACATTTGACCAGTTATTGCTTAATAAGCTCTTGACACATTTCAAGGAGCTAAGGACTGTTAATTGTTTTATTAGTCTCGGGTGGTGCAAGAGATAGGCTGTAAAGAATTCAAGATAACTGGTAGCTATGATAGTGATAATAGAAGTTTTGTGATAAACTATATGGATTAGTTGTTAAATATTTTTCGAGGTTATTCTATCCCTTAATTCAAAACCTATATGTTCTTATATTAATCCTTGTCAAAAGGTACCACTAATTTAAAACTTTTTTTTATTCTATTATCATTTATAACACAATTTCATATATTTTTTTCAGCTTCCCAAAACGTCCTTAATCATGAAACCACTTTCAGAAATCTAAATATTGTTTCTAATCCAAAAGTTTCTTTTACTATATTTAATCTTAAATTAAAAAAAATCAATATATTTCCGAAAAGTTTATTGATCAATCTTAAATTCTTATAGTACTAAAATAATGTTAAAATTTACTCATAACTTACTAGGTTGGTTTGATTTTTTTTTTGTAATGAACAATAATACAATTTACCACTTTCACGGAGGGCAATGAGTATATTAGAGATCGCATTTTGTAATTGTCCAGACATGTTTATTGTCTTCAAATCATTGTAACTGTTATTATTTTTCACCCTTCCTAGCCATTTCTGGCATACGGGTTTTGTTATTACTTTTATCATCGAAAACGGCAAAATGTCCAATATTTTTTAATGTAGAATCACAAATTGTTTAAATCTGTGACAAATTGACTTAGACTCCCGTTAGTTGAAATGTTTCAATATCGATAATTGCAATTGTTCGAAATGATTATCATTCCTTAAAATTTAAAATTATGATAGGATGTAATAGATTGTTGATCTTTAGCCCTAAGGAAAGTATGAATACACCAAATAAATAGATAATTGCATTTATCATCAAAGCAATAAATATAATAATTATTGATTTAAAATATATAATCAATTAAATGGGTGAAAATTGATCATCTAATCATTTATTTCTTATATACACATCTCGTGTCTCTTTAATTTAAGGGGTCAATTAAATGTACTTTTAAAATGTTTATTCGGTTTACAGTACAAGCTTGTATTTTAAAAAAAAAATGTCTTGTTATTTGTGCTCCTGTTTGTTACTGACAAAATCTATCAGAATATGATTTGGATACGTGTTATGCACGCTAGAACTTGAAAACGTTTTGATATTGAAAGGGTTTGTACTTTTTTCAATACAATAGAATTGTTTTATCATCTTAAGTATATAACTACGTATTATAATGTGTGGGTATGTTTTACTAATATTTAAAACTGTTTGCCTCTATGCATTATTTTGAAACATAGGAAGACGGTACTGCTATCATTAAAATCATTAGAATGATTTTTTTTCCAATTTTGTTAATTTGGTCTCTGATTAAGGGCGTGATATATACCTTAGAGGGAAATAAGTCTGACAATATGACATGAGCTTGTGCAAGTGTTCTTAGTTAGGAGGATCGTTGGGGAGTTTATGAATTGAGAGCAGTCGAGCCGAGGACTCCTAATTTTAGAACCAATTGCCGGGCTGAAGGTAAGGTCAACTATCAAGGCAGCACTGGCTACATCCATCCTCTTCCGTAGACCATCTTCATGAGACGAAATCAAAATGGCCGTCTTGAATGCTCCTGATGGCTGCGAATCAAATTATTGTAAACCGGATCTCCTTGAGCTCCGTCAGGTGCACATACCCTCCGTCGGGATGTCAAGGTCATCCTCTCCCTCATCAGCCATTGTTTATTGTCTATGCTAATGAGCCAGGTACAGATGCTGGCGCAGGTCGTTATGGGGTATGCTCAGTTCGCGTTGAGTAAAGCTTGGCACGTGTTCAATCAGTCTAGTCAAGAGAAGACAGCTTTAGACATGATGTGTCACTGCCGTGTCGGATGATCCTGTTGGCGCAACACACTTTGAACTGGCTCTCGGTTGAAGGATATATGTTATTTCTGTGAGATATCTTGTTGAAATGTGCGGGTGTTGTTAGTTCAAGAAGAAAATATTCCCCCCAAAAATCCGAAATATACATTTTAATACTCAAGAAAGAGAATGCTAAAATCGAAAAGAAATAAATTTGACAGGATAGTTGTTAATCAGATTTTATATAATTTTTTTATTTTAATAATAATAAAAAGGGTGTATATTACCTGATATCGTAGCTGTTGTCACAAAAAATAGCTGTACAACCTTCTACTGACTAATCTTTACTAGTAAATAATAAAATACCCAACTGCTAGGTCAGCCTTTTCAAAACCTAAATCTTTCCATCTTGATCACCCTCAGACGTTTACCTACCGATTCAGCCTCAAAGTCTTTTTTTTAAGGATTCATGATCAATATTATAACTTTGTATGCCAATTTGAACCGTCGTTATTCTATGACATTAGTAGATCATCGCCATGACGTGGGTTAACAAGAAATTAAACCTTTCGCACTATTGTAGTACCAGAAAAATATATATAATTATATAAAATATAAACACATTTATGCGGTAAATAATGTTTACAAAAAAAAAACCTTTGTACCTCATAAATGGTTAACCGAATTTTGTTTATCGTTATCCATTTCGTGTTGTGGTGTTGAACATATTTATTATAAATCTGTTTGATTTGCCTTAATAATTGTTCGACGAATGAAAGCAACTTTTATTTAATACATTTTATATGCGCAATAGACGATTTATGCCCTCCTCTCCTCCCCTATATAAACCAATAAGACTTTCATAGTCGAAAGCTCTTTATTATGACAGCGTTGCTAAATTCTGTTCTCTGACGTTTTCCTAAAAGTTACTGATAACTGGAGTGAAATTTTTATCTTTAAATTCAATTTAGAATACACCGACATTGCAAATGTCGGTGTATTCTGAATTGAATACAATGCACAAAGGTGGTGCAAATGTTTATATTTTCATGAACTAAAAATATGCAGAAGATGGGGAAAAAAAACATTGTAGCTCTTTTATTTTATGCCCAAGATTTCCTGTTTGTGTTTCTTAAGGGCGAGATTGACCAGAGAAGCTCCAAACCGTATTTTCGCATTGTTCGTTAGGTTTTTGCTGCGTCTTTGTCGATATCTTTCTTTGTGTAAACGTTCTTTTAACAAAAATCTTCAAATCGACGGTTATAACGATTGTATATACACTTTTTTATAACTTTCACTTTTTCTGGGTAAAGTAGTGCCTTGAAGGTGACCTATTGTTGCACAAATACTCCATGTTCTTATGCGAAATAACAGGTTTTTCTTAATAATTTGAAATATGTTAGTTATAGTTACAGATAAAAAAAATCGGATTAATCATGGAATAATTACTAAATTATTAATTCAAATAATTAGATTTAAATTGCATCTTTCAAACTTTTTAAGCTCGTACTGAAAAAAAAAATAGGATATAACATGGTTGTGCTTTTAACCAGCGAAATGTAGAATATAACTTCAATATTAGATGAAAAGAACTGCGCTAGAAATTAAAAAACGAACAAAATTACAGGTTATTAATTTCGTTCAATTATTTGTATTCATAAATAAATAAAAAATTAAAATTACATACTATTTTAAGACCGAACAGGAAGTGTGATGTTATATAGAAGTTTCTCTCTTAACAATGAATTATATTCCCAATAATTCAAGGTTAAGTATCATTCTCAGTTATTTAATCTTTTTTTTTTTTTTTTTTTTTGTAATACTGTTTTGTGACTTTATTCTGCATTGTTAATATTATTTAAAATAATAAAACTATTTAAAACTATCATTGTTAAAACTATTTAAAGAGGACTGTTAAGCGGACAAACGCTAAGTTTCGTTTTAAAAAAAAAGGCATAAATTATTTGTGAATGTTTTTTATCACCCTTCAACTACTACTACATTTATCCCACTTTTAGAATAACTTCCTCGTTTAATAAGTTTTACGTCTATATTAATAAAATAAAAATTTGTGATTCACCTCAAGTTGTGTTAAGAAATGATATGATTTTCTATCCAGTCACACAAAAGTGTCCCTGTTTTCTGCAAAAATCAGTACAATTAACTGTTGCGAAGCTTTTATTTATTGTTTTCCGTGTTACGGGATGTATTGTAATAAACATAATTACCTAAAGTCACATTTTATTCATACAAATAAAAATTTAAAAATAATGAGATTTTTAAATATTTTTCGTCTTAAAAAAAAAAATGATTTTTTCCCCTTAAGTGGTTCTGAAATCGTGTTTTTCTTTTAAATATCCGTCATAGGAATTGATAATTATTTATTACTGACAAACTTAATCTTTCTTACTAAAATTTACAAAATTTAAAATAAACCTACTTGCTTCAATTATTTTCATGATCTTATACATACACATCAATTCCTGTAGCAGGAACCTGGGAGAAAAAAACAATTTCATAACCACCTTACACAAAAATATTTACAAAACTCATTATTTTTAAATTTTTTATTTTTATAAATAAAATGTGTTTTTAGGCAATTACGTTTATTACAATACATCCCGTGACATAGAAAACGACAAATAAAACATTTGCAACTGTTAATTATAGTAATTTTTGCTAAAAACAAGGATACTTTTAGTGGCTAGATAGAAAATCACATGATTTCTTTAAATCTGAGGAGAATCTCATATTTTTTTCTAGTAAATCTCACATTAATCAACATGGACTTAAAGCTTATTAAACGAGGAAGTTCTTCCAAAAGTGGCATAAATGTAATACAGTTGAAGGGTGATAAGAAAATTCACAAATAATATATGACTTGTTTTTAAATGGAATTTAACTGTGTTTGTCCGCTTAATAGTTCTCTTTAAGTAGTTATAACAATGACAAACTCCACTTTTATAAAGCAAATTTTGTTTAGTTTACTAGGAAGCAATGTTTAAAAAAAAAAAAATATTTTTTATTAAAAATAAGGTCCGAGGACGGATTGTAATAACTATCGAGGAATTTCACTCCTTCCGGTATGTTATAAAATATTCACTTTAATCTTAACCAGTCGAATCACGGAATACGCCGAGGAAATTATCGGAGACTACCAATGCGGATTTAGACGTAATCGTTCGACTAATGATCAAATACTTTCTTTACGGCAAATATTAGAGAAAAAATTGGAGTACAACGGTATTGTTCACCAGCTGCATATAGATTTTAAAAAGGCTTACGATTCTATTGACCGCCAGAAACTGTATAATATTCTAATCGAGCAGGGGATTCCAAAAAAACTAGTAAATATAGTCAGGATGTGCTTGACGGAGACACTCAATAAAGTTAGAATCGGTAATAATCTGTCCGAAAAATTTGAGGTTCGTTCGGGTTTAAAACAGGGGGATTCCCTTTCGCCTGTCTGTTCAATTTGGCATTAGAACATGCCATTAGGGAGGTAATGCGTACCGAGAAAGGGTTGAATCTGGGCGGGACAACATCCATGCTGGGCTATGCTGATGATCTGGTACTGTTAAGCGAAGACGTTGAAACTATAAAACTAAATTCGACAACGTTAATGAAAGCCGTTAAAGAACTAGGACTCGAAATAAACGTGGATAAAACAAAATATATGGTTAGCTGCAAAAATGGCGATACTACTGGTGATATCGATATAGATGGTAATATGTTTGAACAGGTAGATAAATTTATGTATCTAGGTTCTACGATAACCCGAAAAAACGAAATTGAAGAAGAGGTTAAGGTTAGACTGAAGGCGGGAAATGCTTGTTATTTTTCTGTGACAAAACTACTTGGTTCGCGCCTCTTGTCCCGGAACTTTATGGATGCGAAACTTGGCCGCTTACATTAAGGGATGAGCAGCGTCTTAAGGTTTTTGAAAATAAAGTATTGCTTAGAATATTCGGACCGAAGAAGGATGAGTTAACAACCGGAGAGTTCAGACGGTTACACAACGCCGAATTGTGTGAGCTGTATCCGGGTAATATAATTGAGGTAATTTCATCGCGGCGAATAAAATGGGCTTGTAAAGTTGTTGGGCTTAGTAACGAGAGAATTCCTAAAAGGTTAATATTTGCTGTGCCAAATGGTAAGCGTCCGAGGGGTAGACCGAAGCGAAGGTGGGAAGATTGCATTAAAGCCGATCTGAAGGGACTGTGTTTGGACGGCGAACGATGGAGGGAGGTGTGTAGTAAGCGATTGGTGGTGTCGGCATCGAACCTTCGGGTTCGCTAAGCCTTTTATTATTATTATTAAAATATTTTTTAAGTTATCGCTTCCTATTCAAAAAATAGCGCGACTCACTTAAAAAAACACAAATCTTAAATTTCCTCCCTTTCTGCAGGAAGTTGCGAAAATTGTTTACATGAATTTTTTCGCAGATATGTTTTGTCTACTATCAAACATTTAAATATTTCCCTCTGCTTACTGGACACCCTGTATAATAAATTACAAAATGCATAAACGCTTACAGTAAAGTAGGCCAAGTAAATTTTTGTTATGAAAAAACGACCCATATTCGTTTTTAGTGTCCGCTAAAATTTAAATACGGGTTTGTTTTAAAATTAAAAAATATATAGTTTTTTTACTTTATTTTATGGATGGATTTTTTTCATGCCGTATACTATAGTATATTGTAGGGCCCTAAATTCATTCCAAATTCGTGTGGATAAGTGGAGCCATGTCCAACTTATGCCATTTTCGGGAAAAAAAAAATCGATGAATATGTTACTATACAATAATCGTCTTCGATGTATAATAACATTTAAATCCATGCAGCGCAAAGTCACAAACAGTATTACAAAAAAAGTAATAACATTTTATAAAAAACCCTCCGATATGTGTCTAATATTTTGCGACGCAGTTTCACCAAAAACGTTTCATTGAAATCAGTGACCCCACGTCTCTAACCTCCCCTTGTTAGTAAATGCATTATTTCTCGTTCAACCAAATATTTCTATTCTTATTTA